TTCGCTAGTCTTTGCCAACACTGTAATGCAGACGCATCGATTTCTCTCCAATCTTTCTTTTTGCTGTCCACTTCTCACGTGCATGTGAGACCGTTGGAAATTCCAGGCACACCTTAGTCGTCAGAGTGCTATCTTTGCCTTTAAACACTGTAAAGAAGTCATGTGCAGCAGATTTTCCCAATTCATTGTCATTTGATTTCTTAACTGTTATTTTAATGGGCATTGATGGTGAATCTCACCAGAAGAGAAACATATTTATACCCATTCTAAAAAAGGAGGACCCAAAATATTGCAGAAATTATTTAACAACAGCATTCATAGCTGCCAGAAACTCAAGTAGGATTTAAAAGAGGATGTAGAATGAGCGTTCACTCACTCACTCACTCACGCGCTCACTGTCATGGAGTCCACGCTGACTTCCAGCGACCCTACAGGACAGCATAAAAATGGAAGGTCCTTGACTCAATGGATTGACACGTGGCCAACACTGAGGAGGACACAGGGCCGGGCAGTGATTTGCTCTGGTTCACACGGGGCAGCCAAGAATTGGACTTGCCTTGATGGCACCTAATAACAGCAATAAAACACCATCACGTTTCAAAAAGAGATATCCATGGAAAGAATTTTTAAGATATAAGAAAAAGTGACCATCTGTGATATTATATCATTTATAGTAGCTACCTGTAAGAGTTGAGTCCAAAAACGTCTAGTTTCTCTCAATAAAGAGATATTTTTAAATTGTTTTCAATTTATACTGGAAGGAAGCTCTGCGCCGGTCAGCTATTCAGGCGGCCAGGCTTCTTCCAACCTGCAGTTCTACCATCTTCAAACTCAGGGCTCCAAGCTTGGCCTGGTTTTATTCCAGCTAAAAACTAGAAGGTTAAAAGACACTTGCAAAGAACACATGTGCTCTTAACTCCTACAGCAAGGACTATATTCCATGAGTGAGAACGAATCATTTGGTCCTACTTGCAAAAGGTTGCACAATGTTGGGATATATATTTTAGCTATGGGGCCCAGAAGAGGAAATGGTCTGGTAAACATTTAGCTGGTCTAGACCTACGTTTCTTTGTCTAACATGAATACCAGCTAGTCTGAGTTTTAAAATCTCCCATGAAGCTTCCTTGCCTCTCTTTTCTGCCGGCCTTAACCCAGGAATCTGCAGGCAATACTCACATCACCATCTGTGCCTCCTTGCGGAAGCCATGATGCTCCATGTCGCCACATCTTTGCATATGAGATCTGTCTCTTTTGCCTGCTACTCCTTTCCTTCCAACTTCCTCTTCTTCCAAATATGGCAGACATCTCATTTTTAAGACCTGTTTCCTCTATGATGCCATAGAAGGCACAGATCTCTCCTAATGCGCACTGAACTTTATCCTTACCTCTACCTGGACGTGTAAGTGAGGCAGTTAGAAATCTCCTGTCAACTTGAGCGAAGGGGTGGAGTCATAGCCAATGATGCCTCTGTGTGGGCATGGCCTTCTCCTGTGGATTCTGGGAACGACTGTCTTCCTCCCTAGAGACAAGACACACACTCTCTCTGTTTCACCTTCATGTTGACAAGCCACCTGGAGCTATGCTGACAGCAGCCAGAGCCCCGGAGCTGGAGGAGCCACATGGAGAGCCACACCAGTGCTGAGATGCTTCCACAAGACTTTTCACCCACTGGCCTGTGATCTTCCTGCTTTCAGCATCATTGCATGTGCTGTGTGAGACTGCAGAGGAATTTATGGACTAGTATGAGAAATATGGGCTAATATTGTACTTAAGGACTAATATTGGACTTATGGGCTAATATTGAATTTATGGACTTGATCTGGACTGGGCCAGAATGTTTTCTTAATATACAATTGGTCTTTGTCTAAAACTCTCTCTTACATATATATGAGTGTCTCGATTCATTTTTCTAGTCAACCCAGACTAACACAATAAGCTTCTTGTTACAGTTATTTAAAGGAATAATAATTCAATGTAAAGAGAACCAAAATGCTCACCACGCAATGCCTCTTTGAGGAATAAAGTGCACCTGTCCCAAACCATGGTATTTTCAATCACTTCATATGCATGTGAATGTTGAACAATGTATAAGTAAGACCAAAGAAGAATTGATGTATTTCAATTATAGTGTTGGTGAAGAACATTCAAAATACCATGTGTTAGAAGTGCAGACAGAATTCATCTTAGCATCGAGGATGGTGAGACTTTCATGTACTGCAGATATGTTATCAGGAGAGTCTAGTCCCTGGAAAATGACATCTTGCGTGGTAAAGTGGAGGGTCAGAAAAAGAGAGGAAGACCTTCAATGAGATGGGCTGACACTGTGGCCGCAACAATAGGTTAAAACATATCAATTGTGAGGATGGCTCAAGACCAGGTGATACTGTGTTCTGTTACACATGAGGTTGCTATTGGTCAGACCCAACCCAACAGCACCCAACAACAAGGAGCAGCATTTCCCCCCAAAGGACACCATTCATTAATATTCATAATCTAATAACCCTTGCTTCTCAAGAGCAAAGACTGGGTCCTTACTATCTTAGTATCCTTTGTGCACAGGGCAGGCTTTTATATTCATTAACTGAGGACAGAATGGCTAATGTCTGCATTCCTGCAGCTACACTCTCAGTGTCCTTGTTTTGACTTGTGGATTGCCGGAGGGGGCTGATAAGGAAGTGCATGTTCTATGGATATAAAGGGAGGCCTGCTGGTGCAGTGGGTTTGGCAGCAAGAATGCAAGGCTGGTTGTCCAAACCCCACATCCGCTTGGAGGGAGAGTGAGTCTCCCTGCTCCAGTAAAGATGTCCAGCTTCAGAAACCCTGGGGAGAAATTCCATTCTGTCCTATTGAGTCATTATGAGTCAGAGATCAACTCAATGGCACTAGGTAGGTAGGTTGGTTGGTCCGCAGACAGGCAGGCAGGTACTGATCTAACAGAAGAGGTGATCCCTGTGCTCTTGATTTCCTTAGGTTCTAGAAACAAAAGAGTAAGCCGACTGTAGACTGCAAAGGGAAATTACATTACAACAACAGCAAGATCAGTGACCATATTTACGTGTCTCCTATTATATCCTGAGTATGGAAAAACAATTACTTTTTCACTGAACAACAAAACGATTAGCCAAAAACAATATCATGAGTCCAAATGGACACATAGTGACCCAAAGAGACAGGGTAGAACAATCCCGGTGAATTTCCAACATGGCAGTAGACAGGTTCTTTCTCCTACAGAGCCAGTGCTCTGTTCAAACTGCGGCCTAACATGTAACCATGATGCCATCAGGGCTTCTAAGCAGAGCAAAAAACTCCAAAGAAACCCTCACCGCCATCGAGTCAATACTGACTTCTAGTGGCCTGTGGGTTTCTGAGACTGTCACTGTTTATGGGAGTAGACAGCCCAATGGTTGTCTAGTGGTTTTGAACTGCTGACCATGTGGATCACATCCCAGTTCATAACCATGACACCACTAGGGCCCCAAATTAAGAAGTTCTATAGATGCCAAGGGCCTCTTACACTAGTCTTCAATGCCCTAGTCTTTCAAACCCTCAAAATAGCTGAGGATTTTAAAGTAGGAAAAACATTTTTTTAAAGGATAAAGAAACCTGCGTCCTTGTAAGACTTATGTTTAAGGAGAAGCTGAGCCCCAGAGCACCCCCTAGCCGTTCTCTTTGGTATTAGAAGGTGGCTTCCAGTGTGCATGGAGGTGGTTTGAGGTCCTTGGGGAAGGGACATACGTTTTAACCTAAGTGCATTGTCATAAAAGCGACTAAAGTATCCTTTCATCCGCATGATTGTTTTTTCCAGTTCTTCTGAGAAACTACTGTTACATAGCCATCAAGTTTGTAGGGGTCATTAGCACTTGTAAACATGTTAAGAACCTCACACGGAACTTCTTTAAAAAGCTATCACAATAAAAGCCCCAGCACTTACAAACAAACAAAAAACTCCGGCGGTTACTACAATTTGGGTAGAATATGCCAAACAGCCCAATACAGCTAGACTTAGTAAATAACCCCTTAAAAATTAGCAAATCACTTCACGTCTGAACAAAGAACCCTTTCTACAGCACCATGAATGATGCCTTTATTTATTTTTTTTTGATGCCTTTATTTTTTCGAACGAGTATGATTTTAGAAAACAGCTGTACAGCGCATGTTGACAAATGACAAAGCAGCAGACGTGGTAAAACACTTTCGGTCAAGGCCAAGCATGGACAAACCTCTCCCCAAAAGGGGGTTGCTAGCAGAGCAAAGCAGCCTGAATCCCAGGCTTCCTCGCCCCTTTTTTGTGGTGTTCCCTGAAAGGGGCCCAACGCCCCACCCCACCCTCCTGGGCTCGGGTTACACGCAGCCTGGCGAGTTCAACCAACTGGCTGCAGACCCGGTGGCCGCGGGCTCTCGGGCCGGTGCGCTGCGTTTGTTCATTTCCCGCTGCCCCCAGGGCCGCCCCCCCTCCCTTTGTG